CCCCCGGGCCAGCCGCCTGCGCCTCGCCCCATCTCCTCGCCCGCAGAGCGCCCGCGCTGGCATCGCTGCGCTCGTCCCTCGGCAGGCACCCGGGGACACCGGCACGGCCGCAGCCTGGCATCTCCCCGACCGCCCGCGTGACGTCTTTGCCCTCGGCACGTAAAGAAAGAGCAATGTGGGGTCTGCGCCCGGCGCGCAGGGCTGCTGACCTCCGCACAGCCGCAGAGCAGTGCCGGAGCAGTGGAAGGAAAGGGAAAGAAAGGGAGGAAAAAGAAAGAAAGAAAGAAAGAAAGATTTGAAATCTTGTGTTTACTAGTGTTCAGTACATGGGAACCCTAAAGAACAGCGTGTCCTCCTAGTTAACCTTGTCCTGGAATATATACAGGTTATTTGTCGCTGCCACGGCAATGATATTCTCGGAGGGGTGCCAAGCTGTATGCAGGATCTTTTTGCTAAAGTCCAGACTGTCCACGCTGATTTCGTCTTTCCTCCGCTTGCCGCCCACGCAGACCTTGCGGGGCTTGAGGATGGCGCGGGGCTTGCTGTTCTCCCGCGAGGCCTCCAGCGTCACATCGCGCTTGGTGTTGCGGTCGAACATGCGGAAGAAGTTGTTGTAGGAGCCGGTCATGATGACGCTGCGAGGAGGGAGGGAGGACGGGTCACGGCGTGTGGCCCCCGCCCCCCAGACCTGCCCGGCCCGGGCCCCGCAGCGCTCGGGGGCCACGCAGACCCCAGGCAGCCCCAGGGCTCAGGTCTGGCCAGAGAGACCACATCCCCACATCCGTCCCAACCCAGGGAAGACACATGGGGGCAATTCCTTCCAGGATAACACTGCGCACGGTGACCGGTCTTTCTGGCACAGCTCTTGGTGGCCGGAGCCGAGCCGTTCTCACGCCTCTGGAGAGGTGAGCTGCCTCGAGCTGCGCGGCAGCCTGGGCATCCAGAGGCACAACGAGATGCGGATTAAGGTTTGGGATTTGGGCTCCAGGCCCGCTGTGCCTCGTTAACGTGCTCTGAGGGTTCAAAGAAAAACCTGTCGCGTCCCTGCCAGGCCCACGGGTCTCATGGGCTCTCTGCCCCTGGCTCGGTGCGATTCATGCATGGACAGCTCTCACCCCGCGGTTCTGGCATCTGGAGCCGGACGCACCACCGGCCGCCTCCG